TACACGGCTCTTCTGTTTCAGCCATTTATTCATTGAATGCAAAAATAATCATTGTGTCTTAATATCTCTGTAGCTTTGGCTCATGACTTTCCATTTGAATGAAAAAACACTTTCCTTCATCCCCCCACACTCATCAAAACACTGGCCATGATTCAAGAGCCCAGCCCACAGCTCACTTCCTCCCTAAAGTCATTTTGACCATGTCAGAGAAAGCAATTATTATTCTCAGATTACTCCTGCAGGAGATGGGATTTGAGCCAATCCTTGAGGGAGGCGGGTAGACATGGAGAGGTGGCTAAGAGGGAGATGAGGGGACCTCTCAGATGGAGGGGCCTGAATGAGCAGCCCCCGATTATTATTGTGGTCCTGCAGTGTAAACATCAGCCTTGCCTGGAGAGACTGAGCGGGTGGGTCTGCAACAGGACAGGGAGTATGTGTTCTCAGGAAGCAATTCAAGTGAGTCTGCCAGGCAGCCACATTTGGGTGCCACGGTGGGTAGTGAACCGGTACTGCGTGTTCAGCAAGCTTTCTCACACTCATTGCCTGGTTGCAGTTCTGGTATCCTGGCCCAGGTACCTCATGCTCATAGACAAGGCTGGGTGTGAGATGCCAAGCTGGATTAATCAGAGTCTCTGGGTCTTTACATAGGGAGGCTCGGGGGAAAAGCTCTTTTTACTCTGCAAATACTATGCTGAAATGCTCTGAACCTGGCGCTTCCAGAGGCCCACTTTTCTTGCCGAGGGGGAGGAAGTGTGTCTTCTCTAGGACAGTGATGGCGAACCTTTTGAGCTCGGCGTGTCAGCATTTTGAAAAACCCTAACTTAACTCTGGTGCCGTGTCACATATAGAAATTTTTTGATATTTGCAACCATAGTAAAACAAAGACTTATATTTTTGATATTTATTTTATATATTTAAATACCATTTAAGAAAGAAAAATCAACCAAAAAAAACGAGTTCGCGTGTCACCTCTGACACGCGGTGTCATAGGTTCGCCATCACTGCTCTAGGACAATAAATAGCAATAGTTGGACACAGAGGGGAGCCCCAACATTTTTGAACCTGAGTGTGGGCTGCACCCAATCCCATCCCACCCAGATCTGTTCCTCCCTTACTGAGTCAATAAATTGTCACTTGATTGTTGTTACTGTTTAAGCTGGTTTGAGTTAGGCAGTTATGACTTACCAATGAAAGGACCTACCGAAGGTAGTGGTGTAGGGTAAAACATGGTTGTGGAGAATAAAACTGGAACAGTAGTTGGGGGTTTAAGAAGGACCATATGGAATGGGGAATCTGGACTCATTCTGCAAGCATGGAGGAGTAATTGACATTGTAAAAGAGAAGATTTGGAAACAGCCTAAGTGCCCATCAACAGATGAATGGATTAGAAAACTGTGGTACATTTACACAACGGAATACTATGCTGCTGTAAAAAAGAAGGAATTCTTACCATTTGCAACAGCATGGATGGAACTGGAGAGCATTATGCTAAGTGAAATAAGCCAGTCAGTGAAAGAAAAATACCACATGATCTCACTCATTTATGGATAATAAAGACCATTGTAAACTGATGAACAAAAATAGATACAGAGGCAGAGCAGCATCAAACAGACTGTCAAACTACAGCGGGAAGGCTGGGGAGGGTTGGCGGGGGGGCGGGTAAGAGATCAACCAAAGGACTTGTATGCGTGCATATAAGCATAACCAATGGACACAAGACACTGGGGGGTAGGGGAGGCCGGGGAAAGGTCAAGGGGGGCAAAAAAGGAGACCTATGTACTATTCTTTGTAATATTTTAAGCAATAAAAGAAAAATTTTTAAAAAAGAGGAGAATCAGGTCATAGATCTGTGTTTAGAGAGAGAACTGAACTCAGTTTGTAGAGCAAATGGGAGTGAGGAATTCAAGATCCAAGAGGCTGTAAGCATCAATGTCCTTTGAACCTGTTGAATTGGGACTCTTTTTTATTGTTTAAAGTATTATAAATAGTAGTATATATGTCTGCTTTTCCCCCATTGACCTCCCCCTGGCCTCCCTCACCCCCCAGCACATGCCCTCACCCACCTTGTGTCTGGTTATGCTTATATGCACGCATACAAGTCCTTTGGTTGATCTCTTACCCGCCCCCCCGCCAACCCTCCCCAGCCTTCCCGCTGTAGTTTGACAGTCTGTTTGATGCTTCTTTGTGTCTGTATCTATTTTTGTTCATCGGTTTATGATGTTCTTTATATTCCACATATGAGTGAGATCATGTGATATTTATCTTTCTCTGACTGGCTTATTTTGCTTAGCATAATGCTCCCCTGTTCCACCCATGCTGTTGCAAATGGTAAGAATTTGAATTGGGGCTCTTTCAGATTGCTTGTGAAATTCCTAATTGTAGAAAGGCCATAAAGAGATGAGTTACATTGTAGATGTAAACATGTATCCCAATTTGAAAAGATGGACATAAAGACACGAAAAACCACAAAAGATAAGGTCAGCTTAGGCCAATCCTGGAAGAAACTGAGAGTGGT